GCCTCCCAGCTGCCATCCGTGTGCTTCCAATGTGGCTCAACCAGAGGAAAATGGAAATCTGTTATGCTTGTAAACACACTTAAATGTGCATAGAATCAGCCATACAAATTATAAAACATCAATTTGACTCATGCTATTCATTGTTTTGTGATAGTTACAGTGAATCTAGTAAACTTTTTTTTTAAAGAAATTTAATGAACCGTGAAGCACCATTTTTCACCCAAAGTAGATACTAACTGAACCTGTACAGTAAGACACGACAGTTTTCTGGCCCATCACGGCCTTCGTAATGCTGAACCCTCCCTCACCTGTGCACCTTGGGGTGTTGTACTATTTTTTTAAAAATTCTTTATTGTCGAAAGTTTTGCATATGTTTCCTTTTCCCCCCATTGACTTCTCCCCACCTGCTCCCACCCTCAAGCGCATGCCCCTATTCCCCCATTGTCTGTGTCCATTGGTCATGCTCTTATGCATGGATACAAGTCCTTACGACAGTTTTCTGGCCCATCACGGCCTTTGTAATGCTGAACCCTCTCTCACCTGTGCACCTTGGGGTGTGTACTATTTTTTTAAAAATTCGTTATTGTCGAAAGTTTTGCATATGGTTTCTCATTGTCATTTAATTTGCATCTCTCGGATGATTGGGTTGATCTCTTACTCTCCCCCATCCCCCCACCCCAACTTCCCCTACCTTCCCTCTGAGGTTTGACGATCTGCTCAATGCCTCTCTGTCTCTGGATCTGTTTTTGTTTAATGTATCCCATTGTGTAGATGTACCACTGTTTTTAATCCATTATTTGCTGATGAGTACTTAGGCTGTTTCCAAATTTTAGCAATTGTAAATTGTGCTGCTATGAACATAGGAATGCATATATTCTTTTTTTTTTTCGTGAAGCATTCCATATTTTATTTAAAAAAAGGAGAAATTTTAAAATCTCTTCCACTACTATTTACAAAATAAACTAAAAGTTATTATTCAAGCATTAAATCTCATCATTAATAAGACACCATAAGTAAAAAAAGAGATTCATTTACTTGATATATATGCATTACAGTATTGGCCAGCATCTGAAAAGCAACCAAGTTTGTTGCTCTGTTTAAAAGAAAGGAAAAAATTTTTAAAGGAAAATCCCTAAATGTGGCCTAGAATTACTCTGGGGGAAAAAAAACATAAGGAAGTTTCCTTCAAATATCTGGAAAACTGTAGTTAAAAAATAATGTATTAGACCTCAAAAAGAAAAGTAAGTAATTTGCATTTTGCCTCCCTAACAAAGCTTATGTCAATATACTCAAAGACTGATAGCAGAAATCCAATTAGTGTCATTTACTATCCACACCCAAGGACAAATAAAGTTAGAAAATAAGCCTTATTTCAGAATCGCTGCAAACCCCTGGGAGAGAAAGCTGCCCTTGAGTTCTGATCGATGCCAGATAGTCCCGCTTCTCCCGTATGAGTCTGGGTCCCCAGAGACTCGCCCGGCACTGGAGCCCAGAGCCTGAGACTCCCTCCCAATTGAAAACGAAAACCGCACCCTCAGCCACCAGCCCGCTCCACATGCACTCTGCACCTTAGTATTTTACTTCCGCACTGCGCCTCCTCTGAGTCTCGGTATGCTTTTCTCTTTCCTTTTAGTTGTAGAATTTCCACTCAGCCAGCCTTCCTGTGGTTCTGGATGATGTCAGCTTCGTCTTTTAGTTGTATTTTTGAAGTGGTTGTTCGAGGCAGCAAACTCCGGTATTTACCTATGCCGCCATCTTGGTTTCTCCAAAAAATTTCTATATGTGATACAGCACCAGAGTTAAGTTAGGATTTTTCAAAATGCTGACACACCGAGCTCAAGACGTTCGCCATCACTGTCCTAGGTGTATACATAAATAAAAATTCATCAGGCTATATACCACCTGAGATTGGTATAGTTTACTGTATGTAGGTTACACGTGAATAAAAGAAATGAATGGACAAATGAACAGAGGGCTTGCTGGAGTTTCCTGTGCTACCACCCGAGAAAACAGGGCTGGGGGGCCCACTCTCAGGGCCTTGCACTCTTAGATGAGTCTCACCACTTCTCCTGTACCTCACCTACGCAGTCTATGCACACTTAACGTTTTGAGCCTGTGGAGACCTACTCAGACCGTCAGAGGTGGTATAAAGGTTATTATTATTATTATTATTATTCAATATATTTCTTTATTGATTTCAGAGAGGAAGGAAGAGGGAGAGAAAGACAGAAACATCAATGATAAGAGAGAATCATTGAGCGGCTGATTCCTGCACACCCCCTACTAGGAATCAAGTCTGCAACCCAGGCATGTGCCTTTGGCCAGAATCGAACCCTGGACACTTCAGTCCACAGGCTGATGTTCTGTCCACTGAGCCAGATGGGCTAGGGCTTGGCTACATTTTTTAGTTGATACATAATTGTAAAAGTTCACCCATTTAAAGTGTTTTTTGTTGTTTTCACAGAGTTGTGCAATTAACAGTACAATCACTTTTAGAAT